TTTATTTTTCTGTCACACACGCACGATTATCTATTGAATGAATCAAAATGATGGTCAACCTACTTTTGATAAGAGGTGTATAAAATATATATTGTCTGGTACCTGCCAGTATTCCTCTGTCAACTCAAGAGTAGTAATGAATCGGGCTGGTCCTAATTTTTTAATTAATTAATCCGCCCTGGGGCATTGGATACGCGTTTGGTTTGGAGACTTCATTTAAGTATGAAAATCATTACAGAACTGTCAGGTTCCATTTAGGCTTGGGCACAAGCACTATAAGACTTGGCCAACTACTTGAGGATTCCTCAATGATCCCAAGATCCAACATACCTCTTAAACTCGGCCAACTCAATAATACGCGAGCTTCGGGTATGTGGTATGGTTTAAGGTTTACCCGAATGCCAGGGTATGTGATAGATATCATGTTTAACTACATTATTTAGACCCGGCAAAAATTTGAAAAAATGTCTCGATTTCTCTGTAAGAATTCCAGGACTCCTGTTTTTGGGAAGAGGGAAAGGGGTCTCTGTAATCCCTACTTTCCTAATCTAAGCACTCCAGATCTTCCTGGAGCTTCTAACTGCCAAAACCCTCTCTTTCCTTGGTTTGATCAAATCAACATGATAAATCTGGTGGGGTTTTATTTTTATGGGCTGATAGATCTAATAATTAACCTTTCCCAACCTTCTTGATTATTTTCAAACGGTCCCTGTCATTTAGTGAGAAACCTGCTTTTCCTCTGCAGTGCAACTAATACAAGAACCTGATTCCCAGGTTTAAACTCTCTAATTCTTGGCAAATTGGTTGTACAAGTGACTCTGGGCTGTTTGGCACAGCCTACAAATGTTCCCTAACTATGGGCATACCTTTTGTCACTCAGATCATGCATTTGTGTAATGTGTTCCACCACACTCTGATAAGGGGGAAGTTTCTTGCTCCCACATCTTTTTATAACTATGTCCAGTAATTCACAGAGGTGTCTCTCATAAACTAGCTCAAAGGGTGAAAACCCCCCCACCCCGTGGAGTCCTGAGGTACCTCCCATATGGCAAATAACAAGGGAGGCAACAAACAATCCCAATCACGACCATCCTCCTCAACTACCTTTTCTAACATCCCACCTTTAAGGTTTAATCATATTGCTCCACTAACTCGTCAGCTTGTGGATGATAAACTGAAGTCTAATATCATAAACAGTTTACAGAGCTGCTTCATCACTTTAGACATAAATGGGGTACCTTGATCTGTCAAGATCTCAGATGGGAGCCCTGTTCTCATGCACATGTGAAACAACTCCCTTGCGATGACCTTGGATAAGCAATTTCTTAAAGGGACCGCCGCCTACAGATACCTGATGGCATAGTCAAGGACAATTAAAATATATTGGTGTCCCTTAGTTGACTTGGGTAAGGGGCACACCAAGTCCATTGCTATATCCGATTAAAGGGGACCTCAATAATCGGAAGAGGAACCAGCTGACTGCAAAAATGGGGCATGTGGGTGGTTCTTTGACAGGTGGGGCAGGACTCACACGATATACACCAGACCAATAAACTGTTGTAAAACTCATTCTCAAGTTTTAGCTGCCCCAAAGTGACCTCCAATTACATGACTATGAGCCAAATGTAACACTTTGGACCTAAAAGGTCAGAGTACTACCAACTGTTCAATCACCTCATCATTTTATTTGATTACTCTGTACGACAAATCATGATTCACAGCAAAATGAAGGAATCGCACATCTGCCACAGGTTGCTGCGGCTCACTGTTTAACACTGTGACCTGTTCCCTGGCGAGATCAAAGTAGAGTACTTCAATTGAGCATAAAATCCTCCCGGGAACCCCAAAATCTGACAAGTCTGGTTCAGAGGAAAAACTCTTCATTTCCAATCCCAAAACACCTCCAGGGGACCTGGATCAGTTCCTGTAGGTTCACATATCTCCTGGGACATATCATCATTATTCACTATCGGAATTATGGTATCATTTTATTTGAGGGTTCCTCCTTTTTAGGTGGCTTCTACACCCTTGAACTTCTGTTCATACAATTAGCAAGTCATGAGGCAATCCTGGGATCACCCCAACTTTTAATGTAGCAGTTCCTGGTGGTGTAGACAGGGTTACACAGGCCTCCGGATAATCATTAACATCACCATGCACACAGATGACCCAACCTGTTTCCCTGGTATCACCCTACCTGCAACCTGTCTGATCAGAGCAGGATGACCACACTCCCCTGAGTCAAGGAGTGCTACCACCTCTTGTCCATTGACCCGCACCACACACTCATGCGGATTCAAAGGGAGGGTTTGGTGCTGGGCTGCTCCTGTCAGTTGTGTTCTGCACCTGAGCAGACACCATACAGTCAGCTGGTGCAATCTTGAAGCTAGAAAGTGATTCCTTGGTCTGGCCCAACTCTTTGATGAGAGAGGGACCTTCATGGAAACTTTCTGCACAGCTGTATCGTTTGACAGCAGCAGCCAACTCACCCAGGGAATGAAGCTCCAACTCATCCACCCATCAGTGCAGCTCCCTAGAAGAAGCCCTGCATAAACCGGTCCAGTGCAACTCACTTTACAATCTGAGCGGGTGTCTTTTCCTCAGATTATAGCCAATCCTGGAATAGGTATACTAGGTGATACAGCTGTGCACAGGCAGGCTTCGCTGAACTCAGCTCACCCTCAATGCAAGTCACTCTTAGCCTGGCTAGTATTTCCGCCTTTAGCAGTTTACAGTCACGTGCTGACTCTGGGGCCCAAGTCACAGCACACCTGCTGGGGATCTGCAGTCAAGAAAGGAGCCAGCACATCTCCCCAGTCTTTTTCATGCAGTCATTTCCCTTATTGCAATCTGCTCAAACATGGCTAAGAAGCTTCAACATTATCTGTGGCTGCCATCTTTTGTAGAGCCCGCTGCACAGCCTTCTGCAAGTCACCCTTCACCAAGGAGCCACCTCTCACTGTTTCAGCCTGCTGAGTCACATCCTTCTGTAAATCCACTATCTGTTCAACCAATAAGAAGACTGTCTCTTGTTGAACAGGGACGGTCTTTGCCAGGAACTGCTCCTGGTGGGTGTGTGCCTGTGTATTAGTTGCATAATCAATTCCTCCATTGTTTTTTCTGATGCTTTTATAGCATGTGCAGCTTTTTACCCAGGACACAGGACTGACCTGCACCCCTCAAACTGCCCAATGCATTCTCCAGCAATTGTTGGGATCAGAGGGTTAAACAGGTTCTCAACAGACAGGTCAATAAACATAAAATCCGATTCTGTTTATCACCAACAGAAAAAAATGACAGGCTTTGTTTTCAGGGGCAGCTCAAACAATACAAGTGAATAACTTTCAGAATTCCAGTCACAGCATACACAGTATTTCAAAGTCCCAGCAAGCTCACCCAGCACGCATCTAGTCAGAGTGTGGACCAATGGCTTCCAGATCTCCTCACAACAGATAGGCAAACTGACATCACCCAGCCTTTGTGACCAGCTGCTTAATAAACAGGCAAAAACTTTTTTTTTGGATTGAGCAAGGGAGGGTTATAACTCCTGTCAGATTTTTTTTATCCATCTGTGTCCTATTGCGAAGATTTTCCTTCACTTCCTGTCTCATAGCCAAACAGGAAATGAGAGGAAATCCCCCAGGTCACCAGAACTAGTGTCCCAATTGGAAGATTTCACTTCAAAGGCCGGCTGTACATGGGTTGAAGAATAATTGGCCGATTTTCACTCTGTTAGTGGGTCAATGGCACTGGCCAATTTCCGTGGTTCCTCCCCTCTTCGGTGATCAGGCATGTTGGAAAAGTCGTGAAAAACTACCGATTTTCGACTCAATGATGGTCAAATCGTATGATCATTTTTCCGAAAAGAATATGCGCATGAGCCGTGACCTGGAAGGAGCAGAAGTTCCGCCTGTTATATGGGGTGAACTTTATGACTTGGCCAGCCGATTTTCGAAATCATTGATGGCACCATCGAATTATCGAGCGAACAACGTTTTCGATTTTCGGACGAAAAAATCGTTCGGAATGCGAACCATGTGTGGCCTACATAATACTTTTCTGGGGACAACCCAAAATTAGGGATTTTATTTTACTTTCTCTTTCAATGACAACGGTAAACAGGACAAACAGAGAGGGTGAATCTCTATAATGGAGGAACAGACAGCAATAAAACCTGACAGGCGTTCTAATGCCTCTGCACTCTACACAAAACTAAAAAAAAAAAAACAACCCGTTTTTCCTTTAGTTATACTTTAACAATACCCTTCACTGAAAACACCTGAACTCAGTCTTTTGGAGGGGTGCCTGTGTACCTCACAGAGCTTCTGCAGCTTCACCATGATTTTGCATAGTGCAACCTCCCCGTCATGCTACAATACACAAAGACACATTAGATAAAAAGAAAACACAGTGTTTGTACTAAGGATTGTAATGGTCTGTAGGCCCCACTAGCGAACTCTCTGCATTTGCTGGTATTATGTGGTGCAAAAGAGAGATACCATGAGAAAAATTAAAATGACTGCAGAGAATGCATCGGACCACCTCAGATCACACCGGGTGCGACTTGCCATGCCATGTGAGTTGCAAATCGCATGGCATGTCGCAGCCTATTGTCTGCAATTAAAGCAGTCATATCAGTGTGATTAAAACTTGATCGGAGCTGCACCGATTTCTAAAGTAGTGCATGCACTACTTCAGATGTGACTTACATAGACAGCTGTGTCTTGCAAGTCGCACCTCAAGTCCGAATGACATCCAACTTTGAAATGGTGCGACTTCAAGTTCAAAGTTGGATCGGTGTGACCGGGGTGTTAAGGTAAAAAAAAACCCTCCAGCCTTTAGAACAACTTTCAATTCACCCTAGATTTAATACAAAATATCAGTTGACAGCACAGATAACAAGGACAAAACATGGGGATCTCTGGGGTGCTGGTATGTTGCTAGCTCACATGTTTGCAGTTTCCATATAATGGAAAAACAGTACTTGCATTTCTACTTACTGAACCTTGTTTTCAGTCTGGGGATATAAGATTTGGCTCAATGTGTTGGTCATGCCGAGTGGGATGAAGCCAATGGGAATCTTACTGAAGGAGGCCTGTAAAAAATAAAAAAACATCACCAGTGTATATTTTAGTGGTGGTGTTTTAAAAGAGACATTAAAAATGTTATAATGGATTCAATTCAGGGACAAAACTCTTATAAATTAAAAGATAGGTGGTTGACAGCAGTTAGAACCACACTGCCGAATTATGTATTTTAAAGAACTCTGCAGTGATCATAGCCCCTTCATTATACAGTTGTGCTCAAAAGTTTGCATACCCTGGCAGAAAGCACAAAAATTTCGACATTGACATTGAGAATATGACTGAAAAAAAATGTCTTTTATTTAAAGTGTTACTAAAGCCAGGACCCTATATTCACTATATCTGGTCTCCCACAGTACACAGAACATGGAAATGCAATTATTCTAGTAATTATAAACTGCTAAACGCCTTTTCTGATCATCAGTTGGAGTAGTCTTGTGACTTCTATCAGTGTCCAGCAGGTTTAGTAACACTTAAAGGATAGTGATCATATGAAGCCATTTATTATCACATAGTAGTTTGGCTCCTTTTTAATCATTTCAACCCCGGAAGGTATTCCCCCCTTCCAGACCAGGCCATTTTTTGCTATTCGGCACTGTGCTATTTCAACTGGCAATTGCCTGGTCATGCAACGCTGTACCCAAAGGAATTCTATGTCCTTTTTTTCACACAAATAGAGCTTTCTTTTGGTCGTGTTTGATCACCACTGGGTTTCTTTGTGATATAAATGAAAAAAAAGAAGACCAAAAATTTAAACCCCCCCCCAATATTTTCTACTTTCTGTTACAGAAAATATCCAATAAACTCAAATTTACTCATAAATTTAGGCCAAAATGTATTCTACTACATGTCCTTGGTAAAAAAAAAAAAAAAAATCCCAATACGTGTATATTAATTGGTCTGTGTGAAAGCTATAGCATCTACAAACTATGGTATATACTGTATATTGGAATTTACACAGCTTATACTATCTGACTGCCTATCATACTTCTTGAGATACTAAAATGCCAGGCCAGTACAACCCCCCCCCCCCCAAATAACAAATAACCCCTTTTTGGAAAGTAGACACTCCAAGGAATTTGGAATTTGCTGAGACATGTTGAGTCCATAGGTTTTTTTTTGGTCACAAATTTTTGGAAGCAGACAAAAAATTATTTATTTTGTTTTACACAAAGTTGTCATTTAAATGATATATTGCTCGCACATGCCAGTGGAATATGTCGAATAACCCCCCCAAAAAAAAGTATTGGGATACCACATGTGAGACTTTTTGGCAGCCTAGCCAAATACAGCCCCCCCAAAACCCGATAACCACCTTCAAACTTTCAAAGGGCACATTTCCTCACTACCTATCAAAGATTTGGAGATCCTAAAATACCAGGATAGTACAAACAACCCCCCTCCCCTCAAAATGACCCCTTTTTGGAAAATAGGCACCAAAAGGAATTTGATAAGAGGCATGGTGAGTATTTTTCAGATATGATTTTTCGGCACAGGGTTTTGAAAAGAAAAAAAAATACATTTTTGTTTTTTTTCTTCATTTTCCAAAAACTTGTGGCAGTCTTTCATTCTTTCATTTTTTTTTAATCACTTTTATTGTTATCACAGGGAATGGGTAAATATCCCCCTGTGACAGCAATAGGCAGTGACAGGTACTCTTTTCTGAGAAATCTGGGGCCTATTAGACTTTAGATCTGTCCTTTGCCCATAAAGCATCTGATGACACCAAGATTAACATGGTCAGATGCTTTCTCAATTTAAAAATGGCACTGTTTATATCAGTGAAACTGAAATGATGAAATGCTTCCGGTTTCTTGACCATAGAGATGTTTGGAGCCATTTCGGTCTCTGAACAGCTCTATGGTCCGCCAGTGGAACTGCTGGCTGCATTCTTGGGTTCTCTGGTGGAATGAGAAAGCCATAGAAGGCAGCTGGGGGGGGGGGGGGGGGGGGCTCAGGCTAAATATCCCTTCCCACTGCTTGCAAAAGTGATCCAGGAGCTAACTGCTAGGATTTCTTTTACGTGAAGGCCGACCGCCACCTGAAAAAAATTATACCAGGATGGTGCCTGCAGCTACAGCGGGGAATGTGCACAAGCGCGCTCACACCTGGAAATAGTGACATAAGAGTATGTTGCCTTGTCCAGAGCAGTCGCTTGCCCGCACAAATTTGGGTGGGCGGTCGGCAAGTAGTAAAAAAAGAAAAAAAAAATTTAAAAAAATGCTTAATATTTTAATTTTTATATAACATTATTTTTTATTCATTTATTTATTTTTTACTATTTCATCAGAGTAGTTCAATGTTAGTGAAAGTAAGTCTAAGTGTACGTTTTACACTTTGCATTGCAGAAGCAATAAATATTATTGCTCCTGCAATGCAATGCTTGCTTTGAACTGCTATGAATGGGTTAAGTTCATGACAATTCAAAATACTAGTGATCTGTGATTGGCTACAGCTAATCACATGGTACAGGGTATTGTGATTTGCACATGTACCATGTGAGAGCTGTGGGCCAATCACAGCTCACCAGGAAGGGAAGCAGAGCTGTTATGAATCAGATTGATTTGCTATGCGATCATGTGATCACTGGGTCCCGTTTACCGGGATTTGAATTATACTGTGTCCGCTGGACACAGCAAATGGGAGGAGGGGAAGGCGCCTTGCAGTGCACCCCCTGTGTCAGTACAGTCACAGCAATGTACCAGTACGTCGCTCTGCCTGTACCTGCCGCCCATCCGCAGTACAAATACTGTGGACAATCGGCAAGTGGTTAAATCATAATGATAACAGAAATCACCCAAATAGCTCTGATCAAAGGTTTACATACCCAGGAAAATTTGTAGATCTCTTGATACCAAGCTGACCATTCAGCTCATTTTTGTTCAAGTGTTGTATTGTACTCATTCAAAACAACCACACCATCTTTTTTGTATTTCTCCTGAGGTTACCTGTGGGTTTTTCTTTGTATCCCGAACAATTCTTCTGGCAGTTGTGGCTGCAATCTTTCTTGGTCTTCCTGACCTTGGCTTGGTATCAAGAGATCTCAGAATTTTCAAATTTATAAATGTTAATAAGTGTTTTATCAGTACTGACTGGCATATTCAAGGCTTTGGACATCTTTGTATATCCTTTTCCATCTTTATAAAGTTCTATTACCTTGTTATGCAGTTTTTTTGACAGTTCTTTTCTGATCCCCATGGCTCAGTATCATACCTGCTCACCTACTCAGTGCATCCACATAAGAGCTAACAAACTCATTGAATATTTATACACAGGCACTAATTGCAATGTAAAAAGCCACATACGTGGGGAATTAAAGTTTAATTGCCATTTTAACCCAAATGTGTCACCTTGTGTGTCTGTACCAAAACCAAACATTCCAGGATATGTAAACTCTTGATCATTGCCATTTAGGTGATTTCGGTTATCATTATGATTTTAAAAGGAGCCAAACAACTCTGTGATAATTAATGGCTTCATATGATCACTGCACTTAACTCCTTTGTGACCACAGTATGAAAATATGCGGATTCTCGGCAGGTGGGCCTTGGAGCCAAGAGTCCGCATATTTGCGTACCTGAATGTAAACATGCGCACAATTACCAGCCCCTAATGGAAAGCTTTCCAATCATGTGACTGCTGTGACAGCCAATTATGGCGGTCACATGATCTTAAACCCTGCTCCGCTTCCTGGCATCAGAAACCCCTTAAATGGCCGAAAGGTGCAGCATTAAGGGGTTGGCATGATCAGTCATATTTTCAATATCAATGCCAAAATGTCACGATTTCTATTGGGGTATGCAAACGTTTGAGCACAACTGTACATGGTTCATTACAACAGGTCTTTACCTGGGGGGGAATTCCAGATATGGATATTTTAAACAAATACCATACTTGGCCAATGCCCCTAGAAGCTGAAAATCAGTAAAGTTGACATTGTCACTCCAGTGATATCCACTTGCTTCTGGGTTTCCAGCTGAGTGGCTGCCCTGTTGCATCGTGAAGAAGGAGGACAGCCATTCGGCACAGGTGCTATTCAGCAAAAGCAAAATGTTCTCTGACTGCGCAAGGTGGAGAGATGGGGCAGTTAACCAGTATAGCTATATAAAAGATATCCATAGGTGGCATTCCTCTTTAATTTATATTCTAAAAAGCAACAGGAGTGAAACTGCAGTGAAAGGCAGAGACCAGGGTTGCCAACCATCTGTAACTTCACAGTTTGTAAAAATGTATTATTTTTACAGCTGTCCAATAAGGACATACAGTGTCCATAGAAAATCCGACACTACAATTGCTCTGCCTCTCCTCAGCCAATGGGAATGACACTATAAACCACCCCCTTAACCAGCCAGGCTTCTTTGACTTAGAACAGGAGGTGCTATCAGCTGGGGCAGGTGGGAGAGAGACCAGTGGACAAAGCCTACAGTGGAGGATGTACTTCAGCCTACTAGGAGATAGTAAGCTGGGCTAAGCACGAGGCTGACCAGTGCCCTCCATACATTAAGAAGGGGGTTAGAGGCTGTGCTCCCCCTAGCAGGGCTCCTGTTTCTGGGGCTGTTAAGATTGATTTTTTTCTTTGTGAGGGCAACTGCGCTGCCTGCTTCCTCTGGAGAATTCTTCCCCAGTCTCTGCTACACACCCATACACCATCCTTGCTCACAGGAACAGCTACCTCCTCTTCTGCATGCCCACCTCATGTATCTGTGAGCTGCTGGGGCACTACAAGTCCCAACATGCCAGAAGATAGGAGGCCCCAACAGTAGCAATGCATTAGATTAGGTTGGCTTGTACATGAAAAGTGCTGGGGTGTCTGTGTGTGTCCACCAAATTCCCTCATGATCTTGTACACAGATGTATGTACACGGTACATTCTATAAAGTACTGTTCCACATATGGCAGCTATGTAAACTACACTGCTTCCCCATACAGTTCCAGCATGATTTTTCACATTGTAGCCAGCTTATGATACCTGCAAAGAATCACTAAGGGCTCATTCACACGGCTGTTTAGTCGCATACACCAGGTTCCAGTGACAAGAAGAGGCGTATTCCTGGAGCTGGAATGACCAGGCCAAGTGAATAGCAGCGGCTGCTCAGCCTATGTAGTCACGCACCATGGGGTTACCTACGGTTAGGGAGAGATGTCTGAGCCCAGATGCAGATAATCACTTGGTGTGCAGCTACATGCAAACAGACAGCTACTGTCAGTCTGTCAATAGTTTATATAGGGCGAGCACCCACTGCTATTCGCATGCCCCAATCAATCCAGCCACAAAATATGCTGATTCTTGATGCTGGAATCTGTGGATGCAGCTAAATGGCTGTGTGATGGAGGCTTAATACCAAGCCTGAGAAGGCTCTGCAGTCTATCATTTCCCAAATACATCCCTATTTACAGTGCAAATATGCACAGCACTGATTAAGCTATTCTACCTTTCATAAAGGTAAATACTAGTGGTGCACCGAAATGAAAATTCTGGTGCCGAAACCGATACCAAAAATTTAGAATGCATGTGGCCGAAAACCAAATCGAAACCAAAATGTCTGCGTATGTGGGGGTGGGGAGGCTCCAATTTTTTTTTTTGTATTTTTTTTCTACTTTCATGTATATTTTTATTTATCTTATGATTTTATTGCTATCACATAGGGGACCAATAGACCCCTATGTTATAGCATATGAGTGACAGGTCCTCATTGTAGGGGGGAGGGGTGGGGAGAGGAGCAGTGGAGGGGGCATAAAGGAGCAGTGTATACAGAGAGGCTCCCTCACTGGCTGTCACTATATGTCGGCTTTTTTTTTCTTCACTATAGCTCACAGAATGAGCTGTCACTTTCCCCGGAGCTAAAGGAAACGGTTTCTTTTATCTCGAGAAAGAAACTAAAATGCAATTGCCGGCTTTTTTTTTTTCTTCACTATAGCTCACAGAATGAGCTGTCACTTTCCCCGGAGCTAAAGGAAACTGTTTCTTTTACCTCGAGAAAGAAACTAAAAGGAAAAATAGTTTCTTTTAACTCAGGGAAATAAACTAAAAGGAAATTTTGCTTCTTTTAGTTGGGGGGAAAGTAACAGCTAATTCTGCGAGCTATAGCGAAGAGAAAAAAAAAAGCCGGTAATTACATGTAAAAAACGGCTCTGACATATAGTGACAGCCAGTCACTTTATACACTGCTCCTCTCCTGCCTTTCTCCGCCGCCCCCCCCCTCACATCTGCAGTACACACAGTCCCCTGTATCAGCACCTGTATCGGCTAAATGTTTCCTATCGGCAGAATGCCGATAGGGCTAATTGCGGCCGATATGTTTCAGGGGCCGAAATTTCGGTGCATCCCTAGTAAATACCTGTGTGAGAAGCCTCACATGAAAGCTACAGCTGGTCATATATGGCTCAGCTTTTTTTCGATCACCCAGTGGGCTAAATGAAAAAAATTAACCAATTTCCCCATTCACACAATCAAGGTGCATGAACGTATCATCCCTGCTGCGCTATTGTATTCTGACAGCGGGGAGACTCTTTCGTTGTCAGACTACGCAGATCAGCACTGCAGCCATTGGCCGCAGACGCTGATCAAGCGGCTTTTTTTCCCAATAGTCTGTTCAACTAAAGTCAATCCCATATAAGTCCCTGACCTTCACTTCAGCACACTCCAAAAATCTTGGTCCAAATTTTAATAGGTGTTCAAAATTTTTTTTTTGCCACAAAATTTACACTGGAACAGGGTTTTTAAAATATGAACATAAATTGATTAGAACATTTAAAATCAGGCTTAAGTAACATGTTTTCAATTTCTTTAAAAAAACAAGACGTTCTTTGAATCATTTTTATAGGCTGAGATTCAGGGCCTTTCACAGATTTAAGTGTGTTGACAACTACAAGGGTATATTGAGTGCATCAGATGGTTGTGCAGGATGCACTCAAAGGTGATTAGAAGAGCCACACAGCATGTAGGCCATCCTGAATGAGTTTCCGTTTAATATTTGTCTGCCTTATACCTTCAAACCCCACAGGAATCAATAGAAAGAGCATGGATGAAATAATGAGCACTTAGTTCTGACAACGACAAAAAAAAAAGTTTGGGGAAACAATCATTTAAGCTGCGTATGGTTGTAAAAAGATTCTGCTGACTCGGCAGGGAGCGCAGACGACAGCATCACTGTACATTCCCACAATGCCTTACTGGCGACGATTACCTGATCAGCTCTGCGGAGGAGTCCTGTAATAACCTGCAACACACAATACAGAGTGCATTACGCTCTGCTCACCACATTCAATTGCAGAACAATGGGTAACCCACACAGCGCAATATGCCGCTGGAACGGCAGCCATGTTACAGCTTAAACAATGTATTCTGAGACCTGCGTCTCCTCATGCCTATGCAGGAGGGATGTCATAACAACTTTGCATTCACGGCACGAATTGTAAAATTGTTGGTTAATTACAAAGATTGTAGTGAGGAAACCGACTGAGAATGCATTGCTGGCTTTGTAATGTAATTTTATTTCAGCATCACACTGTGTGTGATGGTGAGAAGACTATTCATATGAGAGTCCTCTAGCTTAGCTCTCACAAATAAAAGCTCACTGATTTTGATAGTGAGAACGTCTCAGGGCAATTTCAGGCAACAACTGATGGCCAATGCCATCCAGAGAAGACTGGAAATGCACAAGTCAGAGAGTACTTTGTAAAGTGGAACATGACACATGTTAAAAAGTTCTGCAAAGTAAAGCTCTTTTCAGCACATAATCAACCTTCTTCAGACTCCCCATGTCCCTTCCCCAGCTTTGCAATTCAAATAATTACTTGTATTGAAATCCACACTGTGCACGCGCAGCCTGAGCAGCATTTTCGGTATGTGAAAGGTGTGCTGAAAATGCAGCTCAATCTGCCAGGGAGAAGTATTCCCTGTATCAAGGACTTGTGTAAATGTGTCTCTCTAATTCCTCAAGCCCTGTCATCTGAGAGTACAGTGAACTCACATTCCCCTCTGTGCTATTCTCTCTGCTGATTCTGTATCACTAAGTTGTCTCCTCTGGGCTTCCCAAAACAGTTCTGGGCATGTAATTATTTGTCAGACTGCATCCTGACCTCTACAGCACTTATTTGAGTCAAAGGTCCCCTCCTTGCTACATTCCTCTCTAAGGAAAAGGATGAAAATGTCTGCAGAGAGAAAGCAGACAAGGTGCAGGACATAACTGCAGGAGCTGACAAGGTAGGGAGCTGGTAATTGTGACAGGTGATGTGTTGGGGGGATGTGAGCACATTGAAGAGAGTTGGAAGGAGAGAGAAGAGGTTTACAGAGTGACACCAGCATTTGTGAAAGCTGCATTCAGCTTCCTACTGTATCATCATGCCAGACAGAGAAAGTCTGCTACTAAGAACTTTCTTTGCAGTGCTTTATATGAGATCATGCTTCTGACAGATCACATACAGAGCAGAGCACAGACTTCCTCTGCAAGGCACAGAGATAGCAGGCGATGGCAAGTGAGGGCTCTACATGTGCTTTAAAATTTGTGTTAAACATTTTGATATGCAAAGCAGTAAAAAAAAAAAACTATTGAGAAGAGCTGACCATACACTGTTCAAGTTTTGGCCAGTTCCTGGTGAACTGATTGAAATTCAATCAGTGGGTGGCCCCATGTTCTGTCCAATCTTCCTTGACTGAACGATCTAAATAGCTGGGCAGGAAATTGTTGCGCAACAGCGTCTGTATCCAATCAGATGCAGCTGCTGTTTGGCTTTTTTGACAGCCAGTGGGATTGGTTGTCAAAATACAATAGCCACAGCTGGTGATTCATCCATCTGTGCTGTACAGTGTGGATGGAACAATCTGTTTTAGTTCAACCTATGTGTGTATGGTCAGCCTAAACTAGTGCATTCCAAAACTTAACAATTTGGTCTGTACACAAAAGTTTTGTTCACCCTGGAGCTGAAAGGGATAATGAAGAAGAGAAGAGACAGCAGGATTCAGCCATATGAAATCACACTTACTTCTTGCAGAGTTCCGTCTCCACCAGCAACAATGATCAGATCTGTGTTTTCCATCAGTTCCAGGAGTTTCTTGGCTTGGCCTTCATAGTCTGTCTGAAAAATGAAAACATGCAACTTAGGGGTCAATTCACTAAGAGATAAATACAGCATTAATTTTTTAGTTAAAATAACTCATGCTGTATTTATTTCAAAAGTAGTCAATTCCCTAAAAAGCACGCATTATTTATCAATTGCGTTAAATATTTATGTTTTATATTTAGCACTTAAATTTTGCGTTATTTTTGGTGTTTTTTCACAATTTTTTTCCCAGGCTAAATTGCACCAGAATACACACAGCAATACTGTGAAACTTTGAAAACATTGTAATGTGCTTTCATTCACAAAATGATCTCCCTCTGATGAAATGTTACAATTCATTTTCATTCCTGAGCTCAGAGGAGAACATTTTATGCTCCATGCACACTGGACGTTTTAATAACGCTAGCTGTGTAAAGTCACGTTAAAAACGTGAGTTTTTCTGAATTTTTTTAGCATTTTAGTATTAACATTTAGTGGCTTTTTTGCATGGTTTTTTATTTTACCCCCCCCCCCCCCCCCGAAAAAAAAAATAAAATGGGGGGGGGGGGGGGGTTCAAAAAAATGTCCAAAACTGCTGGTTTGCCACAATTTACCGCGTTTTTTACAACTAAAAAACTCCTCTAGAAACCCAATAGTTCTAGGTTGTATTTTTTCAAGCCAAAAACAGCTGCTGTAAAAACGTCCAATGTGATGACTTACACTGTTACATTGTATACTTGTCACTTCATGGCCAGTGCAGAGTTCCTCTAATTGTTATTTTGTACATATCTAAAATTCCACCAGCACACACCTGGTGATAAATAACGAATGTGTGGTTTTTTAATGAATTGACTTTAATGATTTATCTCATGTTTATCTTGTGTATTTTGGACACTTATGTGGGACATTTATTATATGGATGCTTGCACATGATTTATATGTATACTGTATAGGTAGCGCTGTTACCCATAGGACAGGTGGGGTTTTTTCTTTGTGTCTTAGTGTATTGCAGACAGTATAACACAGCAGCAAGCTTAGTTTTGTACATGGTGGCTCACATTTTTTTTGTTTATTTGGACTTCCTTTGTTTTTTGTTTTTTTTTTTGTATTTCAATGGTTTTTATTAATTTTAAACAGTATAAAACAGAGGCAACAAAACACATCCACGCAGGGGCTATCAATTGCACCGATAAAAAAGGCATAATAGAGCAGACAACGCTCTAATTCCAATAAGGCAAAACGTATGCCCACGCAGGGGCTATCAATGGCACATAGGTTACAATAACATCAGTGAAACTCTAACTATCGCAACTAAAGACAGCTGTCCGACTTCCTTTATTTTTAAGCACACATATCCAGAACACAGGTGCAATTTTACATACAAAATAGAATAGAATAGAATAGAATAGCACAATGGGGAGGGGAGGATTTATCCAGTGGGTGGATGGGGGAATCAGGTCATTTTTATTTGTTCAACTCACTAGCTGAATGGAAAAAAAAAAAAAAGACAAATGCATGGGCTGCCTTACTGACACAGAATCAGACAGGGAAGACTCTGTTATCATGATACGTGTGTGTGCGTGTGTGTTCGTGCGTGTGTCATTTCCCATATCCATGTCTAAACGTTTTTTGCAAATATCGATACTTCTCACTGACACCACTAACCATGGAAAGGAGTTTCACATACTTAATGCTCTAACAGTAAAGAAGCCCTTTTACAGCTAGCATGCATTCCAACTAGCAAAAGTGATGTGGTACCGAACTTCCGGTAAAAAATTATTGCACTCACAATTACTGGTGTCGCCCTGGCACCCGGATGATTTGCCAAATATTGTCAACAACTGCCACTGCTCTGAACTTGCGGCACCTCATCACTTCCATTAGTTGGAACACACACTGGCTCCTAGATGGTCTGGGGCAGCGGCAAATCATCTCAGAGCCAGGGTGGCACCAATAATTGTGAATGCAATGATTTTCATATTTATTTGAGTGGATTTTAATAAAGTACTGAATTATGATGGCTATTTTGGTTCCTTCTCTCTTATAACATGAGTATGGAGCATATTGGGTATTGGAGAGCATATCATGGATCAGCGGTCACAGTGCATAACAACCTGCACAAGTATAGGTTTAGGTGGCCAATATACTCAAGTAAGTGCAATGTCAGGTGGGTACACTAGCAGTGGATTTGGTGGGAACCTTGAGTGGAGCTTCTTTCTTTGCGCAACACAGTTACTTTGGCGCAGCAGAAAAATTGCAAGAATCGCTGAAATACTTTCATTGAAGCATTGAATTGAACAATTGAATAGCACTGAGCACTTATCTAGTTTGGTTGTATGAATTATTCACATGCATGGTATTTATTGTGTATTGGAAGTTTCGAAAAAGACACAGCAAAGCACGGTATTTTTTAGCATCACCATTTTTATTTGAAATATAATTTATGCACAGAGGGAAGCACAGCTTTTTTTCTTGGTACACCAAGTATAACATGGTGCTAATTTTAATGGAAAAAAAAAGGGCCTTTAGAACCACTTTAACCCCCCCTCCCCTGCATTGTTGGTCAGTGGCAGTGATTGGTAAACCCTCATCCTCCACTGGTGGCCCTTAGCTTATCGCATGCTCCCACGCCACGCTCTCTTTCTCTCCTCGAGCTGTGACTCAACTTCACCCACAGTACTGTCTTTCTTTTAGTGCCGGTTGATGGAATGCAGACACCCCACTACTGTAGAGGTCTGGAGTGAAAGAGTAAATAGGGCTACCTGGAAAGAGTATACTATCAGATCTAGGACTGAGTGTCAGAAATTCTCCTGTGGAAAGAACACTATGGCCTGAGCTCTGTCCAGGACTAGACCAAGATACTCCAAATTACAGGTTTCAGTGACAACTTGTCAATGTTCAGGAGCCTTGCAAGTGTAGTTGCTGCATACATTTTCCCCAGAGCTCAGTATGTGTGGTAAAGTTCTGCCGATCTCCATCATTCATTTTTTTTTTTAAATTTCATGGCTCCTAATTGGGTATTCTTTACAAAGTGAAGTTTTACCATATTTACTAAGCTCTTGGGAAGATGAGTGCAACGGCGCTTGAAAAGTGCACATTCTATTTGCCTTTCGTAAATCCACCCCATAGCCTCATATGACAGGGTAACAATAAGGGAGCAAATGGAAGACAGGGACAGAGTTATCACCCTATAACAGGAAGTGCCTAAACAAGGACCTTCGTGTGAGGATCACCAGGTATTTTAATGAAAGCTACTGTAATAAACTTATTTCTATAGATAATATGTAACTACAGTATCTATGTAAAATTATATAGGTGCACATTACACATATAGACTCTGCTCACTGGCAGTATCAAGCTGATCTTCTTATTTCAGGTCTGCCTGACTGAAAACAATAGACTTTGTGCAACCTCTAATGAAGTAAACAACCACAGTGCTCATTTACAAGAGACCATGTCACCTAGACTCCGTAAGCTTTAGGTCACATAAGGGAACAGTTTATTTTCCATTTAGCAAAAAAAGAAGCTAGTTTTACAAAATAAAAATAAAATGATTTGGCAATGCTACATGTGCCTTATTGATTTAGATTTTCATGACACTGTCACCATGCCCACTCCCCAGCCAAGAAAATATCCAGGTATGGGGGAGCATGTAACCTGCTCTCATATGAGAGTGCTTGGGTATGGCAGCCAATTAATAGACCTGAGCACTGCCACGTGACCGAGGGAGTGACATCACTGCTCCTCTATACAGGGGGAAGTGAGCTTGAGGTTCATTCCTCCCCCTTTTTTTGACAAGACGTTTTTCTCAACAGCTTTGAATCTGTTTGGCTTTATATGATGACCTATACCACCTGGTCATTGCATTCTTGTTTTGAATGAATGTTGACTTGGTTCCCATAAGTCTTCAAATACATTTGAACTCTGTTCTGATTGATGACCCTTCCTTGTTGTCGTTGGAGGCTTCTTCCTGTTCACCCAGATACCATTGATCTATACTTAGCAGGAGCTGTCTCAGAGTGTGCTGATATCATCGACTGATATTCATGCTTTGCCCTCTTTCCCTGAAGAAGTGGGTTTTATCCCACGAAACACGGTGGAATCTATAACGCAAAGCATTTTTCATGGTTTCAAGTGGATACTGTATTACCAGTTTCATCAACATCTATTATGTCCTATGGTTGGGCATTTTTTGTCTGTATATGTACAGTATATATTTCCACTGATAACCATTAACCATTCCATATACTATTTGTACAGTTGAGTCTATCTTGCTCTAAGTTAGTGGCTGTAGTTTGCCATTGCCGATGCCCATGACGTTCCTTACATCTTGGGCATCGACCCTCGCCTACTATAGCCACCCCTTGCTGATTTTAATTACAGTCAGGTCCATAAATATTGGGACATCGACACAATTCTAACATTTTTGGCTCTATACACCACCACAATGGAATTGAAATGAAAGGAACAAGATGTGCTTTAACTGCAGTCTGTCAGCTTAAATTTGAGGGTATATACATCCAAATCAGGTGAACGGTGTAGGAATTACAACAGTTTGCACATCTGCCTCCCACTTGTTAAAGGACCAAAAGTAATGGGACAGAATAATAATCATAAATCAAACTTTCACTTTTTAATACTTGGTTGCAAATCCTTTGCAGTCAATTACAGCCTGAAGTGTGGAATACATAGACATCACCAGACGCTGGGTTTCATCCCTGGTGATGCTCTGCCAGGCCTCTACTGCAACTGTCTTCAGTTCCTGCTTGTTCTTGGGGCATTTTCCCTTCAGTTTTGTGTTCAGCAAGTGAAATGCATGCTCAATCGGATTCAGGTCAGGTGATTGGCTTGGCCATTGCATAACATTCCACTTCTTTCCCTTAAAAAACTATTTGGTTGCTTTTGCAGTATGCTTTGGGTCATTGTCCATCTGCACTGTGAAGCGGCGTCCAATGAGTTCTGAAGCATTTGGCTGAATATGAGCAGATAATATTGCCCGAAACACTTCAGAATTCATCCTTCTGCTTTTGTCAGCA